CATGCCAAGGATCCCTCACGCTCTTGGCTTAAATATTTCTTTATAAATGATTCAGAGCATAAAAAATCTCTAGGCTTAATTTCTTTATCATTAGTTCATCATTCTTCTTATGCTAGGATATGCAAAATTTAATACTGAATTGGGTTGTCATTGGAAGACTAGGTAAGTTTTCTCCTTGGACTAGTTCTTCTTTGAGTACCGATACTCAATATATTAATATTATGGTACAGCAAGGGAAAGGGCAAGGAATTCTGACAAAAAAATTTGCCCATACGCTCGGAAAATACTTTGGGATATAAATGCTTTTCAACTATGTCTATCTACAGAAAGAATCTTCAAGTTAACCCAGGCTGCAAGAGCCAAAAAAAAAAACCTGCTATCAATTTTTTGTGTAGATCCAGGCCTCAAATGTATCTTAATTTTATTGACTCTTCTTAAATCCTATCAATGTCCATACATCTACATACCTAAACTGTCTCCCAAGAGTTTTTCATGTATATTCAATGTATTCAATCAGTTAATATTTGTGCAGAGCTTAGCACAGTTCATCAAACAGAACATTCTATACAACCTCTAGACTTTATGAACATTTATGTTATTACCCCAAATTCAAAGTATAGTCTGGTCTCTAGCACTAAACTGCATAGGAAGGAGAAAGATGTTCAGCATGTAATCTGGAGAGAAAAGGAAGCTCAATGATCCTTTATAAAATTAAGCCTGTACACTCTGCTTTTCAAGCAGCAGCCTCTAAATTCCTTTACTTTCCTCAATAAAGTAACTACTATTAAATAGTTATCAGACTGACTCATTGAATTGGATTATTGTGGTTTCAATATATACCTTCTCTTCAGGTCCCACTGGCAAACTAGCTAAGTATATTAACTCAGAAACACCAATTAATACTAAAAATTATATTTTTTTCCTGTTTTATATTTAAAAGGATATTAATTGGAAGTAAACGTGCGCATGTGCGTGCACACACACACACTCCAGAGTGCCTCATTTGTATGGGGATGATTGAAAAAGATTATTATCAAGCATTAAATATGTATTTCAGCATGCTGCTTTCACACTACTGTATTTCAAAATAAAAATTTCTAATAAAACAAAATGCCCATTTTAATATCAGCCAAATATACTTGAACCTTACACATGTTTGAATTTCATATGCAAAAAATGATTAGTCACAGAGCAAACCCACTCTCTTGCAGATATTTTAAAAGATAAATAAAACATTTTAAAAGAGTTATATTTTAGGTTCAAGGGTACATATGCAGGTTTGTGACATAGGTGAACTTGTGTCATAGGGGCTTATTGTACAGATTATTTCATCCCCCAGTTATTAAATCCAGTACCCAATAGTCATGTTTTCTGCTCCTCTGTCTCCTCCTACTCTCCACTCTCAAATAGGCTCCAGTGTCTGTTGTTCCCTTCCTTCTGTTTATGAGTTATCATCATTTAGCTCCCACTTATCCGTGAGGACATGTGGAATTTGCTTTTCTGTTCCACTGTTAGTTTGGTAAGGAAACTAGCATCTGTTATTTTTTGACTTTTTAATAATAGTCATTTTGACTGATTGTGCAATGGTTTCACATTGTGGTTTTGATTTGCATTTCTATGATGATTAGTGATATTAAACTGTTTTTCTTTTTATTTATTGGCCACATGTATGTATTCTTTTGAAAACTGTTCATGTCCTTTGTACACTTTTTAATGCTTTTTAAAAAAATTCTTGTAAATTTAAGTTCCTTGTGGATGCTAGATATTGGACCTCTGTCAGATGCATAGGTTGCAAGTATTTTCTCCCATTCTGTAGGTGGTCTGTTGACTCCTTTTATAGTTTATTTAGCTGTGCAGAAGCTCTCAAGTTTAATTAGATCCCGTTTGTCAATGTTTGCTTTTGTTGTGATAGCTTTCGGTGCCTTTGTCCTCAATGGTATTGTCCTGAATGGCATTGTCTAGGTGGTCCCCAGGGCTTTTCTAGCTTGGGGGTTTACATTTAATTCTTTAATCCATCTTGAGTTGATTTTTGTGTATGGTGTAAGGAAGGGGTCCAACTTCAATCTGCATATGACAAGGCAGTTCTCTCAGCACCATTTATTGAATAAGGAGTCTTTTTCCCATTGCTTTTGTAGCTTTGCCAAAGGGCATATGGCAATAGGTGCGCAGCCTTATAAAAATTATACCTGCCATCATTATTTTACCAGTCCTTTCAAAGAAAATTTTTATGTTCACCATGTTTAATAATTTGTGGGGTTTCTTGTTGGTATTCAATAAAGTAACAATGGCATACAACCTTAGTAATCCACGTCTATTTTCTCCAGACAAGTTCTGATCAGCCTTTTTGTCTGCAAAATACTTCATTTGGCTGAAAATATATTCTTTTATTTAATGCACATAAGATTTATTTATTTTTATCTCCAGATTTTGTTATTCATTAAAGTTAATTACACCAGGGATCATCTCTGCTAGGAGACACAAACATGGTTCTCAGCTATTTTAGATCTACTGTGAGAAAAACCAACAGATGTATTCATATTATAACATTGGATAAGCACTCCTTGGCTTTACATTTAGAAGGTATTCCTATTTTATTCCTCAAAATATCAAATAGAGAAAGGACCCTCAGAACCACAGTTCTCCATTAAGGGACAGGCTGCCTCCTCAAGTGGCTCCCAGACCCCCCATGCATCCTAACCAAGAGACATGTCATACAGAAGAGCCCTGGCTAATATGTAGCGGGTACCATTTGGGGACAAAGCTACCAGAGGAAGGAACAGGCAGGCAGTAATCTTTGCTGTTCTGCAGCCCCCATGGGTGATTCCTAGGCAAGCAGGGTCTGGAGTGGACCTCCAGCAAACTCTGAGCAGACCTGCAGCAGAGGGGCCTGTTAGAAGGAAAACTAACACTCAGAAAGAAATAGCTTCAACAGCAACAGAAAGGATGTCCACTCAGAAACCCCACCCAAAAGTCACAAACTTCAAAGACCAAAGGTAGATAAATCCATGAAGATGGGAAGGAACCAGCGCAAAAAGGCTGAAATCGCCAAAAGAGAACTGCAGTTCTGAGGGTCCTTTCTCTACTTGAGATTTTGAGGAATATAATAAAAATGCTTTCTCAATGTAAAGCCAAGGAGTGCTTATCCAATGTTATAATATAAATACATCTATTGGTTTTTTTTAGATCTCATAGATCTAAAATAGTTGAGAATCATGTTTGTGTCTATTAGCAGAGATGACCACTGGTGTTAACTTGCATGGAAAAAAAAAAAGGATATGAACAGATACTTTTCAAAATAAGAGATTTATGCAGCCAATAAATGTATGAAGAAAAGCTCATCATCACTGGTCATTAAAGAAATACAAATCAAAACCACGCTGAGATACCACCTCAAGCCAGTTAGAATGGCATTCATTAAAAAATTGGGAGACAACAGATGCTGGAAAGGAGGTGGAGAAAAAGGAGTCATTTTACACTGTTGGTGGGAGTGTAAATTAATTCAACCATTGTAGAAGACAGTGGGGTGATTACTCAAGGATCTAGAACTAGAAATACCATTTGACCCAGCAATCCCATTACTGGCTATATACCCAAAGGAATATAAATCATTATTTTATAAAGACACAGGCACACATATGCTTATTGCGGCACTGTTCACAGCAGCAAAGACTTGGAATCAACCCAAATGCCCATCAATGATAGACTGGATAAAGAAAATGTGGCACATATACAACATGGAGTGCTATGCAGCCATAAAAAAGGATGAGTTCATGTCCTTTGCAGGGACATGGATGAAACTGGAAATCATCACTCTCAGCAAACTGACACAAGAACAGAAAACTGTACACTGCACGTTGTCACTCATAACGGCGGTGGGGGAGAGTGTGTTGAACAATGAGAACACAGGAACACAGGGAAGGAAACATCACGTGCTGGGCCTAGGGGGTGACGAGCTAGGGGAGGAAGAACAGGAGGTAGGGGGATTGGGGAAGGATGCATTAGAAGGAATACATAATATAGATGACGGGGCGATGAGTGCAGCAAATCACCACCATGGCACACGTATTCCTATGTAACAACCCTGCAGGATTGGCACATGCACCCCAGAACTTAAAGTATAATAAATGAATTTTAAAAAGAAGAACTGCAGTTCTCACGTTTTTTGAGAAAAATGTCAAATAGCTTCCAAAAAATTCTAACACCTTTAGCCAGTTTTGGAACCCAGAGAGCTGACTGCTTTCCAGGGAAACAGCACAAATATTAGCTAAATGGTGAAATCCTAGAACACTGAAGTTTTAAAAATAATATGTGTATATATACAAACACACACACAAACACACACATAAACTGCTTAGGGGACAAATTGATATTTTTGCCTCAGTAGAACATCTGTTTGCCTTAAAATCTTTATACTTAGGTATGCACATCAATCATCTAGGGAGGCCCAAGGTGTAAATTCCAATCTGACAGAAATTTATAGCATTTGTCAAAAATACAGGATTAAGTGTAGAAAATATGTATTCATGCTTCACCTTTCTGTATCTTTACTTTAAGAGATAACTATCTGTATTCAGCATTTGTCCTACCTTCGAACAGCCAAACATAATCTCCAATAACATTTCAGAACTCTACCCGTTAAAAAGAATATTTTATTGACGTGAGAATCCTCTGACTTGAGACTGCATGTTTAAATATGAATTTAAGAAAATGCTGCAGTGATTACTTGGAGTTTCTCAATGGACTCCTTGGTGATTTATATAAAATTACCATGTTGAATTGCTGTTTCATAACATACTTTCTACTTTGTAAATTATATAATCACTCATTGTGTCAAAAATTTATTCAAACTCCCTGAAAAATAGTTTTGGACATACATATTTTTCAACATGCATATAATGAGTTTTGCTAGTATAGATTAATATGTCCACAAAATACTTGAACATGATCCCATGGAGTTTTAAAACATGCAAATGAAGAGAGAAAGAAAAGAATATACTTACCGGAGTTCTCAACTCAGGTATGGCAGCTTGGTAAGTGAGTGGACGGCAATCACGAGTGTTTGGCACAAGGACACAAGGAAGAAACACTGGACCCAAGTCATCTCCATCCAGAACATCCACTGTGAGCGTGGTGGTTGTGGTTCGCCTCTCATTCAGATTTTGGGCACGGTCCTGTTAGAGAGAAAAACAAACAACAGGTAGTTTATAGTAATTAGGCACAATGGCCAGGAGCAGTGGCTCATCCTGTAACCACAGCACTTTGGGAGGCTGAGGCCAGTAGATCACTTGAAGTCAGGATTTTGATACCAGCCTGGCTGACATGGTGAAAATCTGTCTCTACTAAAAATACAAAAAATTATCTGGGTGTGGTGGCGGGTACCTGTAATCCCAGCTATTCAAGAGAATGAGGCACAAGAATCACTTGAACCTAGACTTGGTGAAAGAAAAGAAAAGAAAGAAAAGAAGGAAGGAAGAGAGGGAGGGGAGGGGAGGGAAGGGAAGAAAGGAAGGAAGGAGGGAGGGAGGGAGGGAGGCAGGGAAGAAAAAGGAAGGAAGGAAGGAGAAAGAGAAAAGAGAAAGAAAGAAAGAAAGAGGGGGGAGGGAGGGAGGGAAACACATGTACAATGTAGAATTAGTTTTCATTTAAAAAAATTGATCAATAACTTGCTTAAACCAACAGTTTTAAGTGGTGAAGCCAGGATGTAAACTGAGATGATTGTCTTCCAAGCAACTTTCTTGAAAATATGTTACAGTAATGAAGCTTTTATATGTTAGGCCTTTACCTAAGAGTTCACATTACTAAATGGCCTAACCATGAAGGTCACTCTCATCTTCTTAGAGCATTTACTTTAGAAACCCTGTAATTGTAAATTATTTCTCTGCCCCTCTGAGATGTAAATTTTTTAAAAGCTTCTTATCAGTTCTACAAACCAGCCCATCTTTTTCATGACTTGGCGGAGGGGGGCATGTCTTTGAAATGTAATAGTCAAGGAAGAAGCCCCTATTTCCCAGTTTCTGTGGGAGGGTAGGAACCTAACTTCCTTAGGAGGCTTGCTGCAATTTCTAAACCTACTTTCTGTCATGAAAATTCAAGGAAGTTTATTTTCCATTGGGAAAACTAATTGGTAAACACACCTGGTCTGTGATTCCCCCACACTCAAGTCCACTGGAGCTTTTAACAGCTCTCCAGCCCTTCTTTCCATCAGAGTTGAGTTCAGATCTAGTCTGCATTCTGGTCTCTCTTCTCTATTGCAATAGCCGTGACCAAAGTCTTCCTTATCATTTAACTTTGTCTATTGCAAATTGGCAATACATTTAGTAGCAATGCACTTTTACTAACTAAGATCCAAAATGTGTTCAGATTTCCCAAGTTTTTACTTAATATCTGTTTTCTGTTTCAGGATCTCAATCAGGTTACCACTTCACATTTAATCATAATGCTTCCTTAGGTTCATTTTGGCTGTAACAAGTTCTCAGACTTTTTTTCTGTTTTTGATGACCTTGACAGTTTTGAGTAATAGATTTTTTGTACAGTGTTCCTCAATGGGTGTTTATCTGGTGTTTTCCTCAAGATTTGACTGGGGTTATGTGATTTATATAGGAAAACCCCATCAAGTGTTATTTTGACAAGCTGACAACAATTATATATGATTAATATGACTTATCACTGTTGTTAACTTGATCACCTGGCTGAGGTTGTATCTAGTCAGTTTTCTTCCAACTGTTAAGCTACTCTTTCTTCTTTTCTTTTCTATTTCATTGGGAGAAAAGATGGATATCACACACTTACAGAATGGATAGTAATTTTATTAGAAATTAAATTGCTTATATTCATTTAATGAGTATTTGGTATAGAAGAAAAAAATACTAGACCTATGTGATTTCCATCCAGAATATACATTGATGAGAGTGGTGGTGGTAGCATCATTCATTATGACAGAATATGGAAATGTTTTTGCTTTCATAGTATTTATTTATTATTTTAAAGAACTATTACACTTTTCTGTCTTTCTGAATTCTATTTTGTTCAACACTGAAAAGTATACTTGTGAGCATGTTCATGTAGCATTATTCACAAAAGACAAAAGGTGGCAAAGGCCCACATATTTATCAATGAATAAATGAATAAATATATTGTGGTATGTGATTCAAGCACCGAAAAAATATAAAGCACTGATATATACAACAACATGGATGAACCTTGAAAGCATTATATGTTCAAATGAAGCCAGACAAAAAATAAGGTCACATATTATATGATCCATTTTTAAGCAATATCCAGAAGCAGCAAAACAAGTTATTGATGGAACGTATCTCAAAATGATCAAAGCTTTTTGTGACAAACCCACAGCCAATACCATACTGAATGAGCAGAAACTGGAAGCATTCCCTTTGAAAACCAGCACCACTCCTATTCAACATAGTATTGGAAGTTCTGGCCGGAGCAATCAGGCAAGAAAAAAAAAAACAAAGGATATTCAACTAGGAAAAGAGGAAGTCAAATTCTCTCTATTTGCAGATGACATGATTATATATTTAGAAGACCTCATAATCTCAGCCCAGAATCTCCTTAAGCTGATAAGCAACTTCAGCAAAGTATTAGGATACAAAATCAACATGCAAAAATCACAAGTATTCCTATACACCAATAACAGACAAACAGAGAGCCAAATCAAGAATGAACTCCCATTCACAATTGCTATGAAGAGAATAAAATACCTAGGAATACAAGCAACAAAGACGTGAAGGACATCTTCAAGAGAACTACAAACCACTGCTCAAGGAAACAAGAAAGGACACAAACAGATGGAAAAACATTCCATGCTCATGGTTAGAAAGAATCAATATCATGAAAGTGGCCATACTGCCCAAAGTAAGTCTCCAACTCAATGCTATCTCCTTCAAGCTACCACTGACCTTCTTCAGAACTGGAAAAAATCACATTAAGCTTCATATAGAACCAAAACAGCCTGCATAGCCGAGGCAATCCTGAGCAAAAAATACAAAGCTGGAGGCATCACACTGCCTGACTTCAAACTATCCTACAAGGCTACAGTAATCAAAACATCATGGTACTGGTACCAAAAGAGAGATAGAGACCAATGGAACAGAACAAGATCTTGGAAGTAATGCCACATATCTACAACCATCTGATCTTTGACAAACTTGACAAAAACAATCAATGGGGAAAAGATTTTCTATTTAAAAAATGATGTTGGGAAAATAGGCTATCCATGTGCAGAAAGCTGAAAGTGTACCCTTTTCACCTTATCAAAAATTAACTCCATATGGATTAAAGATTTAAACATAAAACTTAACACCATAAAAACCCTAGAAGGAAACCTACGCAGTATGATTCAGGACATAGGCATAGGCAAGGACTTCATAACTAAAACACAAAAAGCAATGGCAAGGAAAGCCAAAACAGACAAATGGGATCTACTTAAACTAAAGACCTTCTGCACAGCAATAGAAACTATCACTAGAGTGAATCAGCAACCAACAAAAGGGGAACAAAAATTTGCAATCTACCCATCAGACAAAGGGCTAAAATCTAGAATCTACAAAGAACTTAAACAAATTTACAAGGAAAAAAAACCATCAAAAAGTGGGCAAAGGATATGAACAAATACTTTTCAAAAGAGGACATTTATGCAGCCAACAAACATATGAAAAAATACTCATTATCATTGGTCATTAGAGAAATGCAAATCAATGCCACACTGAGATACCATTCATGCCAGTTAGAATGGCGATCTTTAAAAAATCTGGAGACAAAGATGCTGGAGAGGATGTGGAGAATAGGAATGCTTTTACACTGTTGGTCAGAGTGTAAATTAGTTTAACCATTGTGGAAGAGAGTATGGCGATTCCTCAAGGATATAGAAATAGAGATATCATTTGACCCAGCAATCCCATTACTGGGTATTTACTCAAAGGATTATAAATCCTTCTGTTATAAAGACACAGGAACACATATGTTCATTGCAACACTGTTTACAATAGCAAAGACTTAGAACCAACTCAAATGCCTATCAATAATAAACTGAATAAAGAAGTAGCAGGTATATACCATGGAATATTACGCAGCCATAAAAAAGATGAGTTCATGTCCTTTGCAAGGATATGCATGAAACTGGAAATCATCATTCTCAGAAAACTGACACAAGAACAGAAAACCAAACAGAACATGTTCTCACTTATAATGCGTGTTGAACAATGAGAATACATGGACACAGGGAGGGGAACATCACACACTGGGGCCTGTTGTGTGGTGGTCTGGGGAGGGCTAGACCTCCCCTAGGTGGGGATATTGGGGAGGGATAACATTAGGAGAAATACCTAACGTAGAAGTTAGGGGGAATGTATGCAACAAACCATCATGGCATGAGTATACCTATGTAACAAGTCTGTACAATCTGCACATGTACCCCAGAACTTAAAGTGTGTGTGTGTGTGTGTGTGTGTGTGTGTGTGTGTGTGTGTGTAAACAGAAAACACAAATTGGTGGCTACAGGAAGCTGGGGAGGGGATATGGAAAGCAACTAAATGAGTGGTGCCACTATTTTTAGAGTGATTAAAATGTTTGGGGAACTGAATAGAAGTGGTGGTTGCACAGTATCGTGAATGTACCAAATGCACTGGTCACTTTAAAATGGTTAATCTGATGCAACAATAAGAGCTAACGATCCTAACACCCAGATACATAAGACTCGTAAAGAGATTTAGACTCAACGAGACAGAAAATTAATAAGGATATCCAGGACTTGAACTCAGATCCGGAACAAGTAAACTCAATAAATATTTATAGAGCTTTCCATTTTAAATACATAAAATATACATTCTCCACCTCAAATACACAAAATATTGATCGGCCATTATTAATACCCATTTTTAGAATAAAGCTACATTCCAGTTTTCTCTCCCTCTTTTTCTTCCTCTTTCTTCCTCTCCTTCACTCCTTTTTTTCTTTCTTTCAAAAAAAAAAAAAAAGAATTTATATGGCAACACCCTGTTGACTCAGTTTCAATTTCAGTATGATGTTGAACCAAAGGAAATAAAAATCTGACTTCTTTTTAAAGTAATTCATAATGCAGATAGATTTCCCCCAAGGCAGAATTACTATGCTATATTATTAAGTGAATTTGGGTAGTTTGACATTATTGAACGGT